TTGGATGTCATTGATAACGAGATCACATCATTAGGAGAATGATGTGATGGACAATACCCAATCCTAAACATAGCACAAGATCGTATAGTTCGTTTGCTAGAGTTTTCCAATGTCAAGTATCTTTTCCTTAGACCATGAGATCGTGTAACTCCCGGATACCGTAGGAGTGCTTTGGGTGTACCAAATGTCACAACGTAACTGGATGACTATAAAGGTATACTACGGGTATCTCCGAAAGTGTCTGTTGGGTTGACACGGATCAAGACTGGGATTTGTCACTCCGTATGACAGAGAGGTATCACTGGGCCCACTCGGTAATGCATCATCATTATGAGCTCAAAGTGACCAAGTGTCTAGTCACGGGATCATGCATTACGGTACGAGTAAAGTGACTTGCCGGTAACGAGATTGAACGAGGTATTGGGATACCGACGATCGAATCTCGGGCAAGTAACATACCGATTGACGATGGGAATTGTATACGGGGTTGCTTGAATCCTCGACATCGTGGTTCATCCGATGAGATCATCAAGGAGCATGTGGGAGCCAACATGGGTATCCAGATCCCTCTGTTGGTTATTGACCAGAGAGCGATCTCGGTCATGTCTACATGTCTCCTGAACCCGTAGGGTCTACACACTTAAGGTTCGGCGACGCTAGGGTTGTAGGGATATGTATATGCAGTAACCCGAATGTTGTTTAGAGTCCCGGATGAGATCCCGGACGTCACGAGGAGTTCCGGAATGGTCCGGAGGTAAAGAATTATATATAGGAAGTGCTATTTCGGCCGTCGGGACAAGTTTCGAGGTCACCGGTATTGTACCGGGACCACCGGAAGGGTCCCGGGGGTCCACCGGGTGGGGCCACCTGCCCCGGGGGGCACATGGGCTGTAGGGGTGTGCGCCTTGGCCTATATGGGCCAAGGGCACCAGCCCCAAGAGGCCCATGCGCCAAGAGATAAGGAAAGGAAGAGTCCTAAAAGGGGAAGGCACCTCCTAGGTGCCTTGGGGAGGATGGACTCCTCCCTTAGCCGCCGTCCCCCTAGGAGATTGCATCTCCTAGGGCCGGCGCCCCCTCCCTAGGCCCCCTATATATAGTGGGGGGATGGAGGACCTCTTACCTTTGCCTTTGGTGCCTCCCTCTCCAACACATCCTCCTCCTCCATAGAGCTAGGCGAAGCCCTGCCGGAGTACTGCAGCTCCATCACCACCACGCCGTCGTGCTGCTGCTGGAGCCATCTTCCTCAACCTCTCCTTCCCCCTTGCTGGATCAAGAAGGAGGAGACGTTACGCTGACCGTACGTGTGTTGAACGCGGAGGTGCCGTCCGTTCGGCGATAGGATCTCCGGTGATTTGGATCACGTCGAGTACGACTTCCTCATCCCCGTTCTTTGAACGCTTCCGCGCGTGATCTACAAAGGTATGTAGATGCAATTCAATCACTCGTTGCTAGATGAACTCCTAGATGGATCTTGGTGAAACCGTAGGAAAAGTTTTTGTTTTCTGCAACGTTCTCCAACAGTGGTATCAGAGTTAGGTCTATGTGTAGTTCTTTTGCACGAGTAGAACACAATTTGTTGTGGGCATAGATGTTGTCAACTTTCTTGCCGCTACTAGTCTTATCTTGCTTCAGTGGTATTGTGGGATGAAGCGGCCCAGACCAACCTTACACGTACGCTTATGTGAGACCGGTTCCACCGACTGACATGCACAAGTTGCATAAGGTGGCTGGCGGGTGTCTGTCTCTCCCACTTTAGTTGGAGCGGATTCGATGAAAAGGGTCCTTATGAAGGGTAAATAGAAGTTGACAAATCACGTTGTGGCTTTCACATAGGTAAGAAAACGTTCTTGCTAGAACCCTCTTGCAGCCACGTAAAACTTGCAACAACAATTAGAGGACGTCTACTTGTTTTTGCAGCAAGTGTTCTGTGATGTGATATGGCCAAAGTTGTGATGAATGATGAATGATATATATATGTGATGTATGAGATGTTCATGCTATTGTAATAGGAATCACGACTTGCATGTCGATGAGTATGACAACCGGCAGGAGCCATAGGAGTTGTCTTTATTTTTTTGTATGACCTGCGTGTCATTGGGAAACGCCATGTAAATTACTTTACTTTATTGCTAAATGCGTTAGCCATAGTAGTAGAAGTAATAGTTGGCGAGCAACTTCATGGAGACACGATGATGGAGATCATGATGATGGAGATCATGGTGTCATGCCGGTGACAAGATGATCATGGAGCCCCAAGATGGAGATCAAAGGAGCTATGTGATATTGGCCATATCATGTCACTATTATTGTTTGATTGCATGTGATGTTTATCATGTTTCTGCATCTTGTTTACTTAGAGCGACGGTAGTAAATAAGATGATCCCTCATAATAATTTCAAGAAAGTGTTCCCCCTAACTATGCACTGTTGCGACAGTTTGTTGTTTCGAAGCACCACGTGATGATCGGGTGTGATAGATTCCAACGTTCACATACAACGGGTGTAAGACAGATTTACACATGCAAACACTTAGGTTGACTTGACGAGCCTAGCATGTGCAGACATGGCCTCGGAACACAGAAGACCGAAAGGTCGAGCATGAGTCGTATAGAAGATACGATCAACATGAAGATGTTCACCGATGTTGACTAGTCCGTCTCACGTGATGATCGGGCACGGCCTAGTTAACTCAGATCATGTTATACTTAGATTACTGGAGGGATGTCTATCTAAGTGGGAGTTCATTGAATAATTTGATTAGATGAACTTAATTATCATGAACTTAGTCTAAAAAATTTACAATATGTCTTGTAGATCAAATGGCCAACGTAGTCCTCAACTTCAACACGTTCCTAGAGAAAACCAAGCTGAAAGACGATGGCAGCAACTACACGGACTGGGTCCGGAACCTGAGGATCATCCTCATAGCTGCCAAGAAAGATTATGTCCTACAAGCACCGCTAGGTGACGCACCTGTTCTCCCTGCAGAACAAGACGTTATGAATGCTTGGCAGGCACGTACCGATGACTACTCCCTCGTTCAGTGCGGCATGCTTTACAGCTTAGAGCCGGGGCTCCAAAAGCGTTTTGAGAGACACGGAGCATATGAGATGTTCGAAGAGCTGAAAATGGTTTTCCAAGCTCATGCCCGGGTCGAGAGATATCAAGTCTCCGACAAGTTCTTCAGCTGTAAGATGTAGGAAAACAGTTCTGTCAGTGAGCACATACTCACTATGTCTGGGTTGCATAACCGCTTGACTCAGCTGGGAGTTAATCTCCCAGATGACGCGGTCATTGACAGAATCCTTCAGTCGCTTCCACCGAGCTACAAGAGCTTTGTGATGAACTTCAATATGCAGGGAGTAAAGCATCTTTGTTTTTTGCAACGTTCCCCAACACGTCTCCACCGTCGTAAGCGAGTGGCGGTAGACCCAAGCGAGGAGCCGCTCCTCCTCGTCTGGCACTTCTGGCAACCCGCGGCGGGGGCGAAAGGATTACTCGGTCACGTCCCTCTTCTTTGCCCACTGCCTCTCGCGGCGGGTGGCGCGCGCCTCCAAGTCTAGCGTGCACGTCCGCAGGGCCGGCGGAGCGGGCACTAGCACCCATCGCTGCCCTTGCGAAGCAGCGGCCGACGGGGGAGGTGGACGACGGAGGGGCCGCACGGACTGCACGGCCCTCGCAGAGCTGCGAGCGGGCCGGGAGGGGCCGGCTTCGGTGTCCGAGCTGCGCCGGTAGGGGACCGACGACAGGGCAGATCCGGAACTGCCCCCCATGTCCACATTCGACCGCTCCAGCGTAATGTGGAGGGTCAGCTCCTCGTCGATATCGAGGTCGGAGTCAGAGCGGTTGCTATCGCTCTACATGCTCACCGGAGTTGTCGGATTGGATCAAAGAGGGGAGAAGAAGAAACGGAGTGAGCGGCGAGTGAAGTGAGTTAGGGTTTTGGATTGAGAGTTTTGTGGGGACAAAGTGAGGTCGGCGATGAGTCGTGCTAACGTGACGAATGCACCCGCGCCACCCTATATCCACCCTACATTTGGGCTGAATATGAGTGACACCGAACAACTCGGGCGTCTGAGGCCAGTTTAAGACGTCTGAATGGGTCAGATTTTTTTTAACCAATTTGTGACCGAGCGGTCTGCCGGGACATTTGATGCCGATTTCAAACGTCTAGATATAGATGCTCAAGGGAACACTCCCAGATTGCGATCGCTCAAAAGAGAATAGTTTTACTTCTACAAAAAATAGTTCGCTCAGGGGAGCTCCAAACGTCAGCACATTATTGAGGTCCATAATTAATACAATAAACCATATATATTTATTCCTTTTTCTTTGCGAGGGATATATATCTACTCCTCATATCATTAATAAAAAATTATATGTTCTGTAAAACCAAACCCAACAAATATATTACAATAATTTTCCGCAACAACATGCAAGATATCATCTAGTTCTCTAAAAAATTCAATGCAATGCGTGTTACTTTGTTTTCCTCATATTGCCATGAACATGCATCGTTCCAATGGAGTTTTAAATGGATTATAATCTGAATCATTTAAATCTTTGCAAACGTTCTATCCAGCACTTTTCTCATGGATTTGGATTTCTCCGCAGTGTACATCTTCAGTTCGGACATTTGAACGTGAAAGCACAACAAAGGCTTCTGCATGCATTCCATAGATAGCAACAAGTGGCTTTCAGCCCTTTACAAACTCACACCCACATTAACGCTAATCTTGGCCCCCAGGTAGGGCTAGACCAGAAATCTTGAGTAAGGTTTAACCAAGAGATCTGGGACAGGCAGCTCTCTCTAATAGTGTCAGAAGAAACACGTCAAGAAAGATCAATATCAGGGCTGCATATTTACATCGGAAGGACGTGATTTGATTGTAATCAGCAGGCTTTGAATTTGAGCTTGTTTTCATGGAGCAGTGTGTAAGAACTACCAGCTGTCAAAAGGAGAATCCAAACATTGACCTCTATACTATTTACAGGCCTAAGCTATACTCCGGGGTGGTACCCACTGGGTGCCATGTTTTCCATCCTTGGCATGCTTCTCCTCGAGCCAAACTCCTGGCAGCACTCGAGAGCTAGTCGAAGGGCAGTGCCCAAGCCGAGAACAATCAGAACACCTGAAAACAACTAGTCAAGTCAATGAAACATCCTATGTGTGGTGCCTCCTGTAAGCGAACCACAATAAACAAGTGTATGCACCAACACTGACAGAATAAACCAACCTGAAGTATAACAAACAAATTAATAAAGTAGCCTGCGAGTACAATCAAATTGACTGCCCACGGAAGTGAGTTCTAGTTCCGAATGACACATTATCTGGTTTTCTTATTTTAATTAAAGATCATGGATACGATTTCTTGCTAACAGCATTTTCCAATTGATTTATTAGCTACATGAATTGATACAATTCACTACTCCTAGAAAAATGAGAATGAATATTTGCAATGATATCTATGCACTAGTTCTTCTGCGCTTCATTCAATTAAATGTGTAATGTGTGTTGTGGCAGCCGACCCCCTTCATAATTTTATAAAGCATATGGCGTATGGTGAGGCGACTTCATAAGCATAACCTAACTTTACATGTCAGCAAATTAAATCAACATTTCATAGGCACAAACCTAACTTTGCAGGTCAGCAAATTAGATCAAATTAAGTTCACATTCCACGACATAGCAATGGCAAAAACAGTAAATCTGAGAATTAAATACAAGGATCAAAGGCTTTGTTGCCCACATTCTCTTGCCTCTTTTAGAACATAAGCAACAAAGCATGTCACTAGCAGGCAGCATCCACTGAAATAATGATCAGTGTCATACTAAACTGTTGTTATCTAACTATAATAAGTGAACAGAGGGGAGAGAGAACAAAATAAGTACATTAGTAGGAGCAGAGCAGCTTAGGGGTGGTGACATTCAGGGCTTAATCTGGCCAACAGAACAGTGAGGACAAGAAGCTGGGCATGGAGATAGAGGCGGCATACTTTCTGCTGATAGGGGTGACGACTCCCAGCGTGCAGAACATGGTAGTGAGAAAAAGAAGAAGCTGGAGGAGCGGGAGAGGAGAAGATAAGGCATGCCTAGCAGGGAGGAAATGTAGCTACGTGTAGTGGCGACACAATGGCCGCGCCTAGAGACACCAGAGCTCGGCAAGGCAGAGGGTGGCTGGTAGAGGCGCTGCCGCACCATGGCTTTAACCCAATTCCTTCTCCTCTTGTCTGACATTCTTTGAACATAACATCAGGTGTGGACATGTGGTTCAATATCCATGGACAACCTCACAATGTTGCTCCTATTGACTAGTTATTATATTGCTTTAACAGGGAATCAGGGACTAAGTGTTGCTGGGACACAAACTTAGTGGCATATAATCTCAGACCGGGAGTTGTAATAGTTGTTTCTCAAAGAAATATCAATACTCATTCGGTCATTCCTATGTTGCCACAGAACAAACTTGATATAAAACTAATCCTTCTTAAATGTCAGTTTCCACACTTTCAAAATCAACGAAAGGCAAGTGATAACAGAACACAGAGACAAGTGGTTACAGAACATAAAGGAATATTTGGATCTGGTACACCAAAATACTATTCCATACCAATTATTATGTTCACAGGAAGTGCGGAAACACCAAGAGAAACAGATATCAGCACATCCAATAATAGACCACCAATCAGAATTGCAAATGCAACCCAGAGTGGGCTAAACCATCCCTGCATACACACAGAACAGGCGTCAAATATGAAGCAGAAAAAATTGTACAAGTTCTGCAGAGTTGAAGACTTGCACATGATGATTTAATTAGTAATCCATTTCTCGAGCCAGATAGTCATATCAGTGTATTTGTTTCTTTTTTTTCCTTATCCACAGTCATAAAAATACCCTTTCACGTCCTCCTCGGCCCCTTCCATAAGCTGAATCAACCCTCCAAACCCAATAACTTGTCTGCTCAATGAAAACAAGTAAATTTTCACTACCAGAAAGAGGAATTTGATTAATTTTTTGCAGCCTACAATTTCAGGGGGTCCCGAGTTATTTAACTGTAATATGGAGATATTGGAACATGCAGTCAATAGAAGATGATATATATAATGCAATATATTCTTCAAACATCAGATCCATCCAGTATAGATTTTCTAAACGCATCTTGAAAATGATATAAGGCCAAAAATGGAAGACTTACACTTGCTTGTGTCTCTGGAGGAGGTATGTTGACAGCAACTTGCCTGTGAAAGAAAGAACTTGTGTAAATCAAAATAGTTAGCAACAGCCAAAATCCATTTGAGACGAGGACTTACTGGCATATCTCACACTTGTTTGAACCTCTAGTACGGAACCAGACATCAATACAAGTGCGGTGAGCTTTTGAAAGATCACCACGACATCTGCATCCAAGGTCTACCAAAGGTTCTTCTGACTTTTGCTGACAAACTCTGCGTTGAAGTATCACATGTTACTTAAACCTCCAAAAAAAGTTAATAAAAAAGGTAAACAGCAGCAAACAAGTAGCAGGAAATGTTATATTTTAGGGTCTTTTAAGGAGGGCCTATGAGTGAGCAATTTTCTGTTAATAAAGAAGGGCCTGTACGAGTGAACAATTTCACAAGGGACACACATTGCTTACAAGGAAAAGGCGACCCATGTAACCGGGTGGCACTGAAATGTATACCGGTTGGAACCAATTATAAACCAAGCTGATGCTGGCATGGCTATCCGTTAACTTTTACAACATTCAAGAAAACAGACCTATATTACCAGTTTGAGAGATAATAGTTTCGTCACCAACGCACTGTGTAATGCTTCTATCATACTCCCTCCCTCTCAGTGCATAGGGTGTGCGCGTAGTTCTAGGTCACCGATTTGACTAATCAAAAATGTGTTACATGTCATCAAAAGCATATCACTGGACTCGTATGCGAATGTAGTTTCTAGATATATATTTTTATTACATACAATACATATTTAGCTAGTTAAATTGATGACCTAGAACTACGTGCATGCCTTATGCACCAGAACAGAGGTAGTACCAATGACGATAGCCAATGGCTAAAGCACAACCCCCCAAGCAATGCTAGATGCTATCACTCATAGTAGCCGCCTCACAGGAAACAGTTAAGCTTGTAAGAAAGTAAAACATGAAGATTTCAGGCAAATGGATCATAAGGAACCAGAATAAGACAATAAAATCACAAAAGGATTACAACATAACGATCACAATGTAGGGTTCCCTTAGATGACTTTAACATCAAGAACCAGAGTGGCTTAATACTGTAAGTCACAACAGGGTGAAACGAATGTGTCACTGCAAACAACCAAACCATACTTTGCCTCTCCTGGTTGCGTCTGAACTTTCAACTGTAACTGGAGGAAATTAAAAACATGCCCATCGAACATCAGTGCATCATAAGGTAGTGGCTACGGGTAAACAGCAGTAAACAAGTAACAGGAAATGTTATATTTTTGGGTCTTTTAAGGAGGACCTATGAGTGGGCAATTTCCTGTTAACAAGGAAAGGCCTATGAATGAACAATTTCAGTACATTAGAGTTGGTACAGTAATCTTTAACTAGTCAGCATAACTCTAGTAATGATTACTCCCTCCGTCCCTCAATACATGGCGTTAATTTTGAAAATAAAAATCCCGTATTATGTGGCGCAGTCCTCACAAACGTGCTAAACTTTCACTTTTACTCCTTCACGTGTGGAGTTATTATCAGGAGCTGCCGCCTGAGGGGAAAGAGCAAATAGCCGAACCATTACAGTGTGCATGCGCTTCTCTCCTCCAAAAATCATGCTGGTTTCCTTACTCCCTCACCCTGTCCTGCTCGTAACGCGACGAAAAAAGGCCATGACTGCCTCCAGCTCTCCCTCACTTCATTCACATGGAGACTTTGTTCTTCACATTTAACCAATGGTGGCATCGTCACCAGGCCAGATGGCAGGAGGCGACAACAACTCGGTCAACTCACATACACAGATGAGAGCCCGGAAGCCGTGGCCTTCGCCAGCAGCCAGCACATGGAAAATGGGGACTCCCGCACTGGCATGCACGGCGATGCAGTGCGATGTGTGCGAGATGTTGCTCCGTGCTGCTGCTCTCAGCCCACTGCTATCATTTGCTTGGTTAATGGTTTGGTTGACCACTTAAGCATATGCAGACATCAGGCATCTGGTGCCCAATGCGGGGATGTAGGTGTTGGCACAGGCGGTCACAGAGCTGGTGGCCAAGAGCGCAGTGCCGGTTTCATCCATTTGAAAGACAAGCTTGGGACAAGCTTTTTCGGACGGAGGGAGTACTCGGCAGCCGTGGGCTAGGTGCCAGGTGCCAGCATTGGCGGAGGCGGAGCTGGTGGGCTCGGTTGAGGTGACCACCATGGCAGGCGTGGCCGTGTGGGTGCGGTCAAGGCGCACGTGCACATGGTGCCGGCGGTCGAGGCGTGCGTGGTTGGAGAGTTGTAGCTGGTAACGACGGTGCAGAGGTGCGCTTGGGGGTATTTCAGTCAAAATCTTCTCTCCAGCGCCCCTGTCTGAGAAAATATTCTGGTGGCACGTTGAGAGAAAGAGGGAGTATCAAATATCAGCATGCCGCCTTACATTAATTTAACTACAGCCAGCATCTATATAGCAGCTGGATAGCTTTTTAGTTTTTGATAGCTAAGAACTAAACAAGGTACATCAATTTACTGAAGCCATCTGCATGCAATAATGCTTCCCTAGTCTATACTACTCCCTCCGATCCATATTACTTGTCGCGAACTTCGTACTAAATCAGCGACACTTATTTTGGGACAGAGGGAGTACAACTTTAGTACAAAGTTGTACCAGATGAGCGACAAGTAATATGGATCAGAGGACAGAGGGGTAGTAAAAATACACTGATGATAGTGCACATCATCTTACATCGCACATGCTAAACTACTGAACCATTAGCTAAAAGTTGCTATCACTTTGTGTTACTTCAATTAAACCAATCATTTGGGCTGATTCTTAAGAATAAAAATAAAACCCCAACTGCATTCAGAAGCTTAACCTGTCTCCTATAGATTACAAGTTTATAGCCAGGATCAAGATTAGGGCTAAACAAGGAATTAGCATCGTGTCCCTTGGCACGAAATCTATTTCAGTGTGCTAGAATCTCACCTAGGATATTAGCATACCCAATTGGCATGATCCATGTGCTAGAATCTCCACGAAACACATATGAGAATCACATCATAGAGGGTCTGTGTCATATGTGGTATGAATTTACATTACCTAGGCCCTCCTTTCGCCCTCAGGTTACGCATGGGCGGAGACAGGCCCCAGGCAGCCCGGGCGGCTGCCTGGGGCGTGAGGCCCATCACATGTATGCACTATAACAAATACCGTAGATCAGGACGAAAGCGGCCTGGGGCGTGAGGCACTGAGGCCCATCTCCTTTGTTCGTTTCCTGCATGCCTGCCCGCCGTCCCTTCCCCCGACTTGGACGAACCCTAGAGCCTAGGAGGCGTTGCTCGGTGGCTGCCTCCCTGCCCGCCGGCGCCGCCGCCCGCCGGCGTGCCTACCCATCCGGCCAGCTCCATCCCGCAGCGGGAATGCCGGGCAGCCCCCCAAGCCGCTCTTGACCCACTTCTGCGGCAGCAGGTTGCCCCGCTGCGGGCTGCTGCCCTGTCCGGCGTCCAAATCCCCTTCTGCACCATCAGGTTACTATATATCCAGTTGAATCTGTACTATATCTATCCAAATGTTAGTCCAATACTCTGTTTATGACTTGAACTCGGAGGTTTTTGTCTCCAATGTCCAATCTATGGAAGTAGTTTCATTGATGCCATATAATTGATGCTTCAAAATGATGTCGCACATTTGAAAAAGAATTCAAGCATCAGCCTTACAGTACTAGTATTAATCTGAACACCTAAATTCTACAGCTAGCGCAGTGTCGTTGCTAAGAAATCTGAATTGGTTGAAATTTGTGCTTGTTTCGGGTTGATAAATGCAGCAGTAAGAAGGAATGAAGCAGCCGTTCAGATATCTTACTGCTGCATTTAGGTGTTCAGATTAATACTAGTACTGTCAAGCAAACAGTACATTGTTCATGCCAAGTTGCCAACCAAGTCATGACTTCTTGTTGCTTGATGCCACTGTTTGCTAGATGTGGAAACAGATTTAGTCATTTAGTAATTTTTGTTTCTATATAATTTTACATGGAAGAAATACTGCATTTGAATATTATGTTTGAGTTCTTATTCGTTATGCAATATAGATTGACTTTTCTATGCCTTGAAACTAAAGTTTTTTTAGGGGTAGTTTTTAGTCCTTAGTTTCTTGCCTGAGGCGTCGGCCAATCCTGGCTCCGCCACTGAGGTTACAGACACAGATTTCATGCAGGATGAGCAGCCCAAACCCCCCATATTACTTACACAAAGGCATCGGCGAAGCCCTCGCTGATAATTTGCCCACGGAATGGCCAGTACGAAATCTAACACAGCTACCACACAAACGTTTCCTATTCCCTCCCTGGTTCGCAATTTGAGCAGGATCAGACGAAACATCCGACGTTTCACATGAAGAAGGACGAGACCCACCACCGACAGTATACCTGCATTGCTCGTCGAAGCTGTCGGATCTCGCCAGCTCTGCCTCCTTCGCGGCCGCCACGGCAACCATGGCGCTGGCATCCCCGACCTCCAGAGGGGGCAGAGAGGCCGGAGCGACGCCCTTTTGCTCGCGCGCCTCCTCCTCCTCCGGCTTCGAGATCACGATGGTGAGTACCGCCCCGGGCGCCTGTGCGGGCACCTCAGCCGTGGCCACGACCACCGGCGCAGGCACTTCAGCCGCGGCCACCACCACTGATCCCGGTGGTGGCGCCTGCACCTCAGCCGCGGCGGCGACCACCTCCTGCTGCTGCGGTGGCTGCTGCGGTGGCTGCTGCATGGCTAGCTCATGAGCGGTGGCCGGGCCAGCGCCCGACTCCGATCTGGCGGCTGCGCTCGACATGGGCTGCGCCTGCCTGCTCCTATGCGGCTCTCCGTCGAACACCTCGCGTGCGAGGGGGCGTTTTCCTTTCCGGAAAGGGAACGGGAGGTGGGGGGGCCGCACCTACTCCTGCGGCTACTGGCTGCGGCGAGGGACGGGCGCTGGTGGGCCTGCGCCGGCGGGGAGATGGGGATGGGTGGGAAAGCTGCTGCTGTGGGGGCGAATCTGGATAAGTACGGGGCCTCTGCGCCAAGAGGAAATGCCACTGACGGGTGGGGTAAGGGTGTCGCCGCAAGCGGGTGTCAGTGAGATGGCGTCGGAGAGGAGTGAGTAGAGGGAATAGCGGCCGGTTTCGGATCTGGGGCAAGGAGGTGCACGGAACTGAGACTGAGAGCAACTCTTTTTCGAATACGGTACAACACTTATCTCTATGAGCATAAAAACACATTTTATTTCTACGAGCATTTCTGAAATACTGAGTCGACATGTTACATTGAGATTGAGATTGACGAAGTCATCAAAAACGTCTCATAATCGACGGGAACATCTCCTCTCATTAAACATGCATCACCGAAAATTCTGAAATAAATTCAGGAATAAATGCGAGCATCATAACTTAAATCCTGATGAGCTGGGATACCATTATCCATCTAACCATCCAACCATAGATTGATTCGTAGACTAAGAGCATCACTTTTTTTACTAGGAATTGGAGCTTTTATTGCTTAACGGAAATCCGATTACAATGTGCCATAAGGTTACTAACAACGAAACCTGGGGTTTCCTCTATCCGACACTCCGAACTACTAAGATTAGTAGCATAGTTAGCACACAAAACTGCTGGAATATTAGCATCCTGCTACTTGTGAGCTATGTTGGGATTTTCTTGAAGGGGAGAGAATGATGCAGTATAATAGAGATAAGTATTTCCCTTGGTTATGAAACAAGGTTACCAATCCAGTACGAGAACCAAGCAACACTATGTAAACAGCAGTTGCACACAAACAACAAATACTTGTAACCCAACCCGTAAAGAGGTTGTCAATCCCTCAACGGTTATGAGCAAGATTAAATTGTATAGGTTTTGATAGATAGATTGAAAAAAATACAAAAGAAAAAAATAAAAGAAAATTGCAATAAGGTTTTTTGGTTTTAATATATGATAGAAAATAGACATGGGGCCCATAGTTTTCACTAGAGGTTTCTCTCATAAAATAGAGTGTACGGTGGGTAGACAAATTACTATTAGGCAATTGACAGAAAAGCAAACAATTATGACGATATACAAGGCAATGATCATGTATATAGGCATCACGTCCAAGATTAATAGACCGAAACGATTTTGCATCTACTACTATTACTCCGCAAATCAACCGCTATCGAGCATGAATCTATTGTATTGAGTTTATTGAAAAACGGGTTAATGCTTTAAGCAAGATGGTATGATGTAGACAAGATAAACTCACTTATGAATAAACCCTATCTTGTTACCCTTAACAGCAATGATACATGCGTGTCATGTCCCTTTTTGTCACTGGGATTGAGCATCGCAAGATCGAGCCCATCACAAAGCACATCTTTCCATGGCAAGATAAACCAATCTAATTGGCCAAACCAAACCAAAAAATCGAAGAACAAATACGAGGCTATAACAATTATGCATAAAAGAGTTCAGAGAAAACTTAAATAATATTCATGGATAGATCTGATCATAAACTCACATTCATCTAATCCGAACAAACACACCGCAAAAAGTTATTACATCAAATAGATCTCCCAGAACACCGAGGAGAACATTTTATTGAAGATCAAAAATAGAGAAGAAGACATCTAGCTGCTAACTATGGACCCATAGGTCCGTGGTAAACTACTCATGCATCATCAAAGGGGCAGCAAGGATGATGAAGAACTCCTCCGTGATTGTTTCCCCCTCCAGCAAAGTGCCGAAAAAGGCCTCTAGATGGGATCTCATGGTTCTGGAACTTGCGGCGGCGAAAAAAGTATTTTGTAGACTCCCCGGTAGGTTTTCTGGTTTTAGAGTATTTATAGAGGCGGAGTTAGGTCAAACGAAGGCTTGTGGGCCCCACTAGGTACCAGGGCACGCTAGAGGCCCCTTGCGCGCCCTGGTGCCTAGTGGGCCACTCCTTCGTCTTCTCGTTCCCTCACACAACTTCCAGGGTCTCTTATTGCCAGAAAAAAAATCTCCGAAAAGTTTTGTGGCATTTGGACTTCGTTTGGCACTGGTATTCTACAAAGTCAAAAACAAGCAAAAAACAACAACTGGCACTGGACACTAAGTTAATAGGTTAGTCCCAAAAACTGATATAAAGTTGCTTGTAAATGTATATAAACATTCAAGATGGATAAAATAATAGCATGAAACAATAAAAATTTACAGATAAGTTGGAGACGTATCAAGCATCCCCATGCTTAATTTCTGCTCGTCCTCGAGTAGGTAAATGATAAAAAAATAATTTTGATGTGGAATGCTATCTAATATATTCATCATATATTCTTTTCTTTGTAGCATGGACATTTGGACTTGAATGATTCAAAGCAATAGTCTATAATCTGACATGAAGACATCAATACTCAAGTATATCAAGAAGCAACCATGTCTTTCAAAATATCAATGCTAAAGAAAATTATCCCTAGCCCCATTATGCTCAATCATTGATCCATTCATCAGACACACTCAAATATTAGCTACATCCAATGCAGAAGTATGACAATAGTGTTCCCTAGTTGGTGCTTTATAAGAGAAGATGGAGACTTAAAATTAAAATAAAAATTGCATAAAAGTAAATAGATAGGCCCTTCGCAGAGGGAAGCAGGAATTTGTAGAGGTGCCAAAGCTCATAGCTTAAATTGAGAGATAAAATTATTTTGAGAGGCATATTTTTCCTGTCAACGAAAACGACCGAGAATTCCCAATATCTTACATGCTAGACAAATTATAGGCGGTTCCCAAACAAAAAGTAAAGTTGATTTCCTTTCCACCATTCTTTCATGATCCATGGCTAGCCGTATCCACGGGTGCCTTCCATACCAACACTTTTCAAGGAATTTATTATCATAGTATTTTTTTCATTTCGGGACTGGCATCTCTATTACCTGTCACTCTCTCATGCAATGACAAGTGAATAAACACTCATCATGAGAATAAAATACCTAGCATGGAAAATATTGGCCACCCACTGCCGCTTCATGAGCGGTACGGGCACACAAAACGGAAATTCATTTTGAAAAATAGAGTTGGCACATGCAAATTTACTTGAAATTAGGTATGGTGGACTCATTTGGCATAACTTTGGTTTAAGGAGTTAGATGCACATGCAACATTCCCGCTTAGTACAAGTGAAAGCTAGCAAATAGATTGTGAAGCGACCAACCAAAAAATGAAAATTGTCATAAACATGCATTAAACATAACTAACACTGAATAATGCACCATAAGTAGGATATAACTTCATTGCATAACTATTGACTTTACATGCATGCATAGAGAATCACAAACCTTAACACCAGTATTCTTACTAAAGCATAATTACTCACCAACATGACTCACATATCACTATCTCCATATCGCAAAACTATTGCAAGGAATCAAGTTTATAATATCCAATGATCTTCATGAAAGTTTTTATTATATCCCTCTTGAATATCTATCACTTTGGGACCAAATTTATATCTTATGCAAATTACCATTGCTATTATCAACTCTCAAAAAGATCTAAGTGAAGCGTGAGAGCAAATTTCTTTAAAAAATTCATGTATCAACTCTCAAAATAATATAACTGAAGCAAGAGAGTTTATTTCTTTAAAATTTGCTAACTCTCAAAATAATATAAGTGAAGCAAGAGAGTTTATTTCTTTAAAATATAACCACCATTGTGCTCAAAAAGATATGAGTGAAGTACTAGAGCAACTACCTAGCTCAAAAGATTTAAGTGAAGCACATAGAGTATTCTTGCAAATCATGATATGTGTGTGGCTCTCTCAAACAAGTGTGTTCAGCAAGGATGATTGTGACAAACTAAAAAGCAAACAAAGCAAAGACTCATATAATACAAGACGCTCCAAGCAAAACTCATGATATGTGACGAATAAGAATACAATTCCAAGTAAAATTGATGATGGTCGTTAGAACAAAGAGGGGATGCCTTCCAGGGCATCCCCAAGCTTAGTTGCTTGGGAGTCCTCGAATATTACCTTGGGGTGCCTCGGGCATCCCCAAGCATAGGCTCTTGCCACTCCTTATTCCTGCATCCATCATGATCTCACCCAAAACTTGAAAACTTCAATCACACAAAACTCAACAAAACCTCGTGAGATCCGTTAGTATAATAAAGCAAATCACTACTTTAAGTATTGTTGCAAATACATTCATATTTTGTTATTGCAGTATACCTACTGTATTTTAACTTTACCATGGATTATACCCCCCCCCCCCCAGATACAATCCATATATTCATCAAAATAAGCACACAATGCAACGAAAACAGAATCTGTCAAAAACAAAAACAATATGTAGTAATCTGAACATTGACCATACTTCTGTAACTCCGAAAATTCAATAGGACAACATGGGAAATTTGTATATAAATCGTGTGTAAAAAATTCAGAATTTTATAACGCTCCATCAAATGTTAACAATTCTGCTACTAGACGCAAAAGTTTATGTTAATGCACAGAATCAAATCAACTATCATCCAAATCATCCCAAAGGTTTTGCTTGGCACAAACACTAACTAAAACACTAAAACACAATCATAACAGTAGCATAATTGTATATTTATTGAAAAACAGAAAGGAAAACAAAAATTAAAAAGTAACTATTGGGTTGCCTCCCAACTAGCGTTGTTGTTTTACGCACCTAACTAGGCATAATGTATAGTTTCAAGTGTTGTCATCTTTGGTTTTAGTTCCATAGGTGGCCCTCGTGATTGACTATATGGTGGCTTAATTATAGTTCTAGGGAAGTGTTCCATACCCTTCTTTAACAGAAACTAAAATTTATCA